CTAATGACAAATCAAGGCCAGCAGGAACCTGTTAGCGCAGCACAAAGGACGTTCTGAATGGACAACGGCTCGCGGATCCTTATGTGTTTTTCTCTCAAGGGAATAATTCACTCAAAAAAATGCTAATGATGCTAATAACAAATAAAGGCTAGCAGGAATGAGTTAGAATGGTGTAATTCACTCTACGGTGGGGAGACTGAATGGAGAATGTCTCGTTGGTCTTTATGCATTCTCCTTTCCAATGAAAGCTTCACTTAAAATACAAGCTAATGATGCTAATGCCAAATAAAGGCTAGCAGCATGGTGTGATTTGATACAATGAACAGTCTGAATGAAGAATGGTTTCATAAAGAAGCTAATAATGCTAATAATAAATAAAGGCTAGCAGGACCCAGTTAGCGCATCACAGTGGGCAGTTTGGTATAATTAGCAACATAGCTAACACTGCGGCCCACATTTATGCCTTTTGTTTGTTGTTAGCAAAGTTAGTATTTGAAGTAATAAAGTAATTTCATTTTGTTTGTAAAGTTTAGAAATTCTAATCTTCATTTTAATGCCTGATTTGTGTGGTTTGTTGCTTTTCTTGAATAGAAGTTTCACTCAAAAAGAAAATAATAATGCTAATAACAAACAAAGGCTAGCAAGAACCAGTTAGCGCACCACAGTGGGCAGTTTGGTATAATTACCACAATAGCTAGCACTGTGGCCCACATTAGTGCCTTTTGTTTGTTATTCGCAAAGTTAGCATTTGAAGTAATGAAGTAATTTCATGTTTATTAGAAATTTTTTAAATTCCATTTTAATGCTTGACTTGTGTTGTGGCTTGTTGCTTTTCTCAGTGGGGAAAAAAGGTGCTTTGTCTTGTCTGTACACAAGACAAAACACCTTTGTTCCCTCATATTAAATACAATAGATGACCAATATATATTATGCTAAACATACTTAACTGTGCCACTTTTGAATATTTAAATATGTGCTGATATATGTCAATATATTGAAATATATGCACATATGTAGAGGAAACATATGTCGTTGTAAATTTGTAATGTTTACATAGAGACAAAACATGTAAGGGAATGTATCACAGACATGACACATTTTGAAACATGAAAAAATCCCTATGGGAAATAAACAGGTATCAAAATTATTGTGTCACTCTGGTTTTCATGACAAAAAATCACTAAAATAAAAATTTAAAAATAAAAATTTTTAACAGATTTTTTTGTCAATTAATTTAGGAATAGAACAAATAATACATGGACATCAAATCTCTGCAGTTTATTCTTATTTTGAGCTCATTTTCAAGGCCTGTTCCTGGACACTGCAATGGCAGAATGACCCATATGTCGAATAGGATGCCGGGTTGTACGACTGGCATGACGGAAATTGATTGAAATAGATGCAGCAGCACAGAGTGGAATTGCTTTGCTTCCAGCTGAGGCAGCTGTGGAGAAAAACGTTGGATTGACAGTGCTGTGCCCTGCGACGCTCGTCTGTCAGCGAGGGTCAGAAATTATGCCCGTATGGAGGTTTAGCGAATCCACCTGAGTAAACCGAGGACACCGAGCGAGTATTCATGAAAGGATTATGGCCGATTGATGGACTGCCCCTCTGGTTAATCAAATTCTGGTTTGTTTGCACTTCGCCCGGAATCTATTACATGATCAAATACATAAACAAACAAATCGATGAGCATCTTTCTGACTTTGTTTCCATTCTCAGTGCTCATGATGTCAGATCTCGAGGAGCTTGTTTGCCTTCCAAAGTACTCAGATCAAATTTCTTACCAAAAAAAAAATAAAAAAAATAAAATCTTGGATATTTATTAGCGCCAGGCTTCCTTGGCTGGAAAAACGTGCCCAGCTCCTGACACATTTCCGAAGTGGAGAAGCGCGAGGAGCTTAACATATCGCTTTAGAAAAGCTACTCTTATGAATTTTGCATCGGCTGGTTGAATGGTCGAGGGGTGACGCTCCTCTGGAATCGCGCTCGGAATTACAAATTGACATTGAGGCAGCAAGGCGTGGTTTATGCATGAGCGGCTAGTCCGGCCAGGCGAGATGCAGAGAGAGCAGGGGTGGATGGAGAAAATAAGAGAGAGGAGGAGAGGAGATGGAAGAGCTGCTGGCACATCAGTGCAACCACCGGGAGGGTGATGTTACAGTTACAAAGTGGGAAAACGAGAATGAAAGCGAGAGGGAGGACAACAAACAACGTGACTCGTTCGACCTTGACACTTTCGCCTCGCCGCAACTGTAACACGTTGCCTCAAATCCTGCAGAAGGCCACAATTACTGGAACAGTTCAGGAAAATATCTTTCCCTTCACCTCAGTCATACAACCAAGGCTTTATCTGGGATCCTTAGATTAGCTTCTTTTGCTTAGCACTAAATCTGGGATGCTAATGTATCATCTTACCAAATGTGTGTATAAATAATCACACATTTGCATCAAATTTTGATTAAATAATCTTAATTTTACTTGCTTATGTGGTTTCCAGCACTATATGATGTAATATTATTTCTAAAACTGCACAAAAGTACATAAAATACAGTATTAGCAGCCATCTGAATTCCAGCTAGCTGAATTTTGTTTACATCTTGTTTAGTTAGCCTCGAGTAGTAAAGTGGCTAACCACCAAGCGTCACGTTTTATGCAGTAGGTTCCTGAATCAAAGAGCATATCCGCTGGTTCACCATGCTTCCTGGTTCTGCTTCTTCCTTGCTAATGCTACAACATGTAGCTAGCATGAAAATGAATTGATACTGAAGACAATTCATGTAGCCGTCCATCTGGCAGTTGAAGTCTCAAGCTATTCACTGATAGTCCTGTAGTTTGTCTTCTTATTTGATTTTATTTTTACCGTATTCACTATTATCTCGTCCATTTCCGTAGACAAGACTGTATCATGATACTAAGTATGTAATGATGCTAATCACTGGGATATACACCGATCAGGCATAACATCATGAGCACCTCCTTGTTTCTACACTCATTGTCCATTTTATCAGCTCCACTTACTATATAGGTGCACTTTGTAGTTCTACAGTTACAGACTGTAGTCCATCTGTTTCTCTGCATACTTTGTTAGCCCCCTTTTACCCTGTTCTTCAGTGGTCAGGACCCCCATGGACCCTCACAGAGCAGGTACTATTTGCGTGGTGGATCATTCTCAGCCCTGCAGTGACACTGACGTGGTGGTGGTGTGTTAGTGCGTGTTGTGCTGGTACGAGTGGATCAGACACAGCGGTGCTGCTGGAGGCCCCTGTAAATCATCTCAAACTGAAAACAAACTCTTGGATGAAAGTCAGTTGATTCAGGGTTAACAGGGTTAGGATTAGGACCAAGGTTAAAGTTAGGTTTTGGGTGGAGGTTAAATTTTAGGAGCTGGATTTAGAGCTAGGACTGGATTTAGGGTTAGAGAGAATTTGGGTTGAAGTTAAGGTGGTGTTAGATTTAGAATGTTGGCTAGTTTAGGGTTTAAGGTTAAGGTTAGCGCTTGGGAAAATCAAGGTGGATTGAATAGATATTTAGATCAATATGAAGTTAATTGCAAGGTAAAAATCTACAAATCACCTACAGGGGGCCATCCAAACAAAGTTATTCCAGCATTTCTGTTGGTTCACCATGCTTCCTGATCTTTACTTTAGCAATGGTGCTACAAGGCTACTATTATAACATCATGCTAACTGTATGCTTAAATACACTTACCTCAAAATATTAAAAAGACTTGTTTATGTTGTTTCTGGAACTCGGTTGGTTAGCTTCGATTAGTCCTGTGGCGAATCACCAAGCATTATGCTTCTGGTAGTAGGTCTGAGATGCCAAGTAAAAGAGAATTTCAGTTGGTTCTCCATGCATCCTGGTCCTACGCCTTCTTTGCTGATGCTACAATAATTTAGGATAAACATATCCTAATGTAAAAAGGAATGAAGATGAGTAATGTAGCCACTTGCTTTGCAGTTGAAGTCAAGCTACTGGCTAATAGGCCTAGTGATATAGTAGTATATCGCTGTTGTCAGAACAAAACCTTGTATCTCCAAAATGGTAACTTTACAGTAGAAGCCAAAAACCTACTTTACTTTTAATGTAAGTCAATGGAACCAGACTTTTTTCCAAGTCATTTTGAGCCATTTCTTTTGGTCCATTCATCATGAAATTTACGCACAATGTAAAGAGCAATAGATACTTTTAAATTAGGTCAAAAACTGAAAAACGACAAAAAGTAGAACTACTTTTGGATGCTTGCTTGCTGTTAGCACAAGGTTTAAAGATGCCAACTTTTGTGTTTCCACCAAGATATTCCTTGAAATTCATCAGTGGTAAATTTCCGAATGCCACGTCCGCCTCAATTTCTAGAAGCAGCAGCCGCGACACGAAACAATGACACTCTGCACGCAGCCCGTTACCCTGTGCGACCCAAACGCTCCAAACTCTTGTCATAATATGGTTAATTTTTCATCTCTTTCCACTTTGCGTCCTGTACTCCCTCCTGTCGCGGCAGCTACGGGCTGAAATATTGATGACGCAAGATGCTATTGTTGTGACATTGAGATTGATAGCGCCTCGCTCTTGTTTTTTTTTGTCCGTTATCGTGTTGTTTCATTATGATGTTTTCTATTATATTCCCATGTTCGATAAGCGCTGCTTATATAGCTCGGCGCTTAAAAGCGCAGCTGCAATAAGCTTCAGCAAAGCGGAACGGAGTTTTGAATAATTTGCTAGCGTCTTATCGCTCCTCTTCCTTTCTTTTCTCTTCTGTCGCCAGCCAATCTTTCCTATTACCGGAATCACAATCTAGAACCTGGCGTTACTCTATGCCATCATGTGTAATGCAATTAACTCCGCGTTATAACGTGGCAAATAAACCCGAACAAGGCCGGACGCCTACGCGGTAGGGAAAAAATAATAAATGTGGGCTGAATTTGAGGCGGTGAAACCAATAAACGTGACAGTGGCGGTGATGTGCAATAATCTTTCTATCTCTGTCTTGCTTCCAGGTGGTGCTGATCATCAGGATTCCCTGCGAGAACACAGCATGCCTGCTTGAGATGAGTGACACAGGAAGAGCCTTCATCTCGGGTATGTTATAAATACACATACATAGACACTCTGCTCTCCTCGCTGTCTTCCTCACTTTCTCTCCTTCATAGCGGGGGCCATTTTGAGCAGCTCTTCGCTCCCTCGTGTCGCTCTTGACACCTAAGCACTCCGTGGTTTGCAGAAGCCAGAGGCGGCCGGCTGCGTATTGTTGAATCCACACAAAGAGGCAGCCAGCGACACGCTAGTGCAGAACCCATTATTTCTACTTGCTAATTTGCTAGCTAATTAGCCTGATCTGCTTGCTTTGGTCCAGAAGCTTGCTTGGCAACCTGTAGCAGGGGTTATGCAACCTAATACCTTGGAAAAAGGGGAAGGCCAGCTGGGAACGCTGTAGTACCATCATTCTTCCTCTGCATTATTCGAGTTTACTTTAGGCCCGCAGCGTATAATTATTCCTATAATTGCCTAATCTATGAGCTATTGTGTAATTAATTGGCTAATCAAACCACTATGCCCCCTACTGTTTCCACTCTTTGCTTCTATTACAGCCATACAGCCTTAAAGTGCTGTGCAAAAGTCGGAGACCACTCTTCATTTGTTTTGTTTCCAGTCAAAACAAGGGCAGTCAAATTCAGAGACATTCACAACAAAATATAATATCATTTTTCAGTATTTAGCGTGTCCACCCCACTTTTAATAGACCCGCCATTCATTTCAGGGGACTTGCTTTCAGTTCTTCCGCACCTCCAAAGTTCAGTCTTAGAAGTTGGCTGCGTTTTCTGCTTCTCACAATCCAATTAATCTCTAACACTTATCCATCTGGACTTTGAGGTGATCTGTCCATTGTTCTGAGATCTGCAGTTGCAAGTGTTTTTCTTTGTCCATTTTCTCTTATTTTGTCTTTCATATTGTCTATTTTCTTTTCATAATAGTGCCTTTCTGATGCTACACGTCCTTTTCAGACTCATAGCATTTAGAGTTCTCAAAGTAGCAGGATTTTTCCTTCCTTCTTTCAAAATCGGAAGCTTTTAAGTAGTGTTTGTCTGAGTGAAAGTCCACCAGGCCTTGGATGATTCCTAGGAGTTCCATTCTCTCTTCACTTTTAATCATTTTTTGAGCTCCAGTTTTCAAACCCTGGTGCGTAACTAGTCATGTTATGTCTACAGTGGTCCAGTCAATTTATCCTCATACTCTTTTAGCAGAAAGGGTTCTACACGGTACTCAAAAAGAAGGTTCTAACAATAGCAGAACCCATTTTGGTGCATGATCTCAGAATGAGAATGTCTGGGAACAAACTTGAGAAATTTTTGGCTGAATATAGGTGGGAATGTGGACTGGGGTGGAAACTAGTCAACAGCCTTGTGAAGGTGGAGCTCAAATATGAGTCAGTGGTGGGCTTATCAGCATTGTCCAATGGTCAACATGTCTGCTGTTAGCTTAAGGAAGTCAGCATGGCTGAAAATCCTCTCAAACACCTCCATATAAGCTTGAAGATGTGCGTTACATGTGTGTAGAACATGCGTTAAACATTGCTTTACTCAACAGTTAACAGTTTGGTTAAGTAACAATAGAATTTCCTAGCTAGCTTGTTTCAAATGGGTTATGATTGTACAAAACATGTTAAAACAGCACCTACTAGAGAAATTTGGGGTAGGTTGAGGGGGTAGAAGGGGTGTGCCCTTGTTTGCGGTGGATTTTGCTCCTACCCTGAAGCAAGGTTTAACAAGAGAGGTCCCTAGACATGTATTCCAGTTACGAGATCACTTCTGACCCAGCAGGACTAGGTGTTAAATTGAACCAAATACTAGTTCTCCGAGAAAAGATTTTTGGAAATGACTAGTAATTCTACCCCTTCACAGAATGAACCAAAGCTCTCCGACTACCCAGTTTTGGAAATTAGGCTCAGTGACCTGACATTATATTAAACCACAACGCTATGAAGAAGTGAATGTGGTTTTATTGGCGTTGAATAATGTAATACAAGCACAGCCATATTAGCACACACTTTCCAGACCAGCGGGCAGCTTTTGTTCAGTTGAAAAAAGGCAACGTCTGATTTTATTTTGCTAATGTTTTGTGCATTAGCAGGTCTAGTAGTCTGCAAAGCTGTTTTGACTGTGCGGCAGTGGGTAATGAGGTGCTCAGTGGAAAGCTAAGCTACATTTTGTAGCCTCAGAGTCAGCCTGCTGGTTGCCTAATGCATCTCTTACTGCTTCTCTGCTTTTACCTACAGACCTCATTCACACATTCCAGGTTAGCTAATTCGGTGGTCCTGGAGGCCCACTGCTCTGCACATTTTCCTATTTCTCCTCCGCCCAGCATTCCCTGATCTATTTGGTTAGCTGAGAAACAAGCCTTCGCTAAAGTGGGCTTGTTAAAGACAGGGGTGCAAATGTGGGGCTATGCAAGTTATTTCTGATGTTTTGATTGACGTTTGATGGGTAGAACATTACAGAGCTTTACATAACACTGTTTAATGCATAAATGTATTAATATGCTTTGCCAAAAATTGCTATGTGTCATGCTAATTTCTGCAAGTGACCCTGATACTTTCTCCATACTACACTGTTAAAAATGAAGGTCCTGTGCACTTTTTTGTTCATCAAGGTACAAACAATGTAAATGTACCCTCAAAGGTACAACAGTGGATTTAAGGTCTGATTGTGAACCTTAAATAAGTTTTTCCAGGTGAAAAGTTCGTATTTGTACCTTTTCAAAACCGAATGTTTTAAAACAGAACAGTAAAATAAAAGCCTGGAGACGAGATGGGGTGCGTGGAGTCAGTACAGCTTAGAACATATCATTTCAGTGGATTATGGTTCAGTTATGCTCCCTGACTAAAGGTACTGAGATAGACCCTTGAGGGTCCCACCCCAGTGACGAGAGGGGTCCTGCCCCAGTGACAGTTTCATGCCTTTTTTTCTGAGAGTGTATGTTATTGCCAAGCTAGTGGAGATATATTGGTGATATAATATCATTTTCCATCTAAATACAAACATTTTAAAGATGTACCAGACAGGCAAGTATCATATTCTTACTTTGTAAGCTGCAGTATTTCAGTAACTACTACTTTAATCGTCTTTAATTATTGGTGGGTTTGCTGGTTAGCTTTCTGCTGACCTGCTCGGCCTACTGTTGTGAGGGCAGAATATATCCAGTAGCATATAGAGAGTATAACATTTACCAACCAGAACCAGCTCAAGCAAGTTAAAGACAGCCTGTGAACAGCAAGGAATTATGTTCAACTGGCTGTTCATCATCGGTTTGGATTTTATAGTCTTGGATTTCAACAGTAACAGCAAGGCTTTTTTCCAGGAATCACATTGTCTTCTGAAGCTCCACACTTTCTTAAAAGCTTTGTGCTTGTAAGATTGCTGTTCTTACCGTACTTTCATCGTCACTCAGCTGTAGTGATAGTCGTAAATTCCCAGAATGTCTCGGAGACATTTAATTGGACATAAAAAGATAACCAGATTAGTTAAAGAGTGTGCATATTTTGGTAAAAAAGGTAATGAATGACACTTGCCTTCCCTTCCCAAACAGATATTTCAACCATAATCTCCAAGTACAGTGGTCATATGAAAAATAAGTGAATACAGATGACATGATACCACTTATCCTGAAATTGAAACGTTGAGTATACAATATTTCCTCTTTAAAAACTACTACGCATTAAAAAAAGCTTAGATTTAACAAATTAGCTATGAAGCACATCATCATCCATAAGTAGTCTATTGCCTAAAACTACTCAAACACTCCATTATCCCCATGGAAGGAAATACACAGTCATATCACAGTGTGAGGGAGAATTATCTCTGGATAGATTTGTTACAGGGGTTAAATCAGATTCATTGTTTTTTCCCCTCCAATTTCCCATTCAGAACTTTTCTGCTTGTTCCAATATCAATGCCCATATAACATGTAATGAGGTTTATTGATCCTATAAGGGGAGCTTGTCATTTTACCATGTAACTATGCCCACTCTGGGGGGATAAGTGCCTTACCTAAGGGCACAAGCAAGAACCCACAACCTTCTGTTTACTGGCTCCCTTTTCCTACCACTAGGCCAGCAGCCACCCCAGCTCTACAACCATCTCTACTAGCAACTAGATTTTATGTTCTCAGAGAACTTATATACACTCTATCACACATCACACCTACAGGGGTTTTAATGACATCCCATTCTAAATCCATAGGCATTAATATGGAGTTGGTCCCCCTTTGCAGCTATAACAGCTTCCACTTCTGGGAAGCTTCTACAAGATGTTGGAGAGTGTCTGTGGGAATTTCTGCCCATTTATCCAGAAGAGCATTTGTAAGATCAGACGCTGATGCTGGACGAGAGGGCCTGGCTCACAATCTCTGTTCTACTTCATCCCAAAGGTGTATGATGGGGTTGAGGTCAGGGCTCTGTGAGGGCCAGTCAAGTTCTTCCACACCAAACTCACCCAGTCAGGCCTTTATGGAGCTGCTTTGTGCACTGGGGCTCAGTCATGCTGGAACAGGAAAGGTTCTTCCCCAAACTGTTCCCACAAAAGTTGGAAGCGCACAATTGTCCAAAATGTCTTGGTGCTGAAGCGTTAAGATTCCCCTTCACTGGAACTAAGGGTTCTAGATCAACCCCTGAAAAACAACCCCATATCATCATCCCTCCTCCACCAAACTTTAGAGCTGGCACAGTGCAGTCAGGCAGGTAACGTTCTCCTGGCATTCGCCAAACCCAGACTCGTCCATCAGACTGACAGATAGAGAAGTGTGACTCCATCCGAATCTTGGCATTGTGCTTAGTGATGTAAGGCTTGCATGCTGCTGCTCAGCTGTGGAAACCCTGCCATGAAGCTCCTGCTGCTCAATTTTGTACTGATGTTGATGCCAGAGGAGGTTTGAACTGTGCAGTTATTGATCAGCAGAGTGATGGTGACTTTTATGCACTATGCGCCTCAGAACTCGGCAACCCGCTCTGCAACTTTACGTGGTCTGACACCTCATGTCTGAGTTGCCATGGTTCCTAAACACTTCTACTTTTCAATGATACCACT